TATATTCGTATAATGTACCTGAAGGATCGTATATGTTGTTCGTCACATATGATATATTGTGTATCTATGTAAACACATATATATTAATTACGTACCTGTTGTATTTGTTAATGCATTTTTTTGTGTATAATCATGAATATTTGTGAGCGTGATTACCTTTCATATTTAATTTTTAGTTTTGTTGAGGATTGATACATATCTCTGGTGATAAAATTTTAATTACCTTTTTTTGTACCTTTTTTCATTTATATGTATTTTGACAATTTGGCATGTGTTTAGTTGAGGAAACTTGTAAACATTTATACGTTACTCTGTGTTTTTTACTCCCTTAACTGATCCATTTGTTTTTTTTTTTTTGGTGTTTCTGTTCTAGTTTTTGGATACGTTATCTATAAAGGTATTTTCATTGAGCAGATGAATAGGTTTAAATGTATGTTTATTATGATATTAATTGCGTAACTAATCGAAACGACATTTGTCATGACGTCTCATCTCAATGTGTTTATTTTAGAGATATGAATTCAGCCGCTATTAGTGAATGTATTTTAATGTACTTGCGAACCACCAGTTAGTGGTATGTTAATCGAGAACAGGTTGCCTTTTTTTAGTGTATTTGTCTAAATGATCTGTGTTTATGGAGAATAATATATATTATAATCACATAATTTTTTAGAATACGTTTTTAATTACGTGATGATATTGTCGTTATTTTTACAATTTTAAAGAGCGTTAGTTGTATCCATTACTTTGACTTTTCAATAGGGACCTAATCCAAAAATAAATTAGTTGGTAGATTTTTTTTGGAGTCCTATTGAGCCTAGGTATCGGCCTCCAAAATACTCTTCTGTTAAACTACTTTAATAAACTTTGCCAAATGCATATCACCTAAGGTGCAACTTGGGTGAGCCAACCTCAGTTCAACTCAAAAAAAATAGGGTTTGGATTGAGATTTTAAAATTTTGGGTTAGGCTTGGGTTTAAAAACTTTAACTCGAATTGAATTCGGGCAACACTCGAATTGAATTCGGGCAACACTCGAGTTGAGGTATCGGGTTACTAAGTTCAACCCGAACCCAAAAAATTTATATATATATTTATATTAGAGGTAACCCGTATCTAAAGGTACAATGCAATGTAAATAGTTTTAAAAGTGATGTTGGTGACCATTAAATGAGTCTATTTGAAACCATCGAATGAATTTATTGAAATCTGTCTGTTTTATATTATAGATATGTATAAGCACTAGCCACTAGGATTCTCAATCTCATATTCTCATGTGTCTTTCTGACTCTCTCGTTCTTTGCCTCTCTTCGTCTCTCTCCCCCTCAGGTTCTCTTTCCCTCCCTTTTAGCTTTGATTTGGGCCGACGACCACAACAATAGTCAGATTTGATGGCTATGGCGTCGAAGACCACAACGACCCTCAGATCTGGTAGCTATGACACCAAAGACTACAACGACTCCCAGATAATCAAATTTGATAGCAATGGTTATGGTGCGGTGGCAATGGACAATGACTGTGGTGTGGTAGTTGTGGTGGCACTATCACGTAGCATCATCTTTCAATTGGAAACCACCAAACCGATAAAGGTTTTTTTTGGTCATTCAATATTACATGGGGAATGTTTTGGAGGAGAATTGAACCTTAAACCTTCAAATAAACAATGGGGAGACTCATCCAATGGGATAGGACTTTAGTCTTACGAAACGGATAAAATGGATATCACTTATTTATATATCACACTTACTGCATTGTATGCAAGGGTAGTACTAGCTCATATATTAGCTTATAATGAGACAGTGATGTCATGGTATATCTGTTACATTTAAAATTTTGTTTAATAAACCCTTCGACATTAAAAAATGAAAATAAAATAAAAGTCAACTTGTGTTGTTTCCCCTCGTCTTTTCTAATGACTTAATGCCAAGCCAATGTTTGAAATGAAGCAACACAATGGCTCCTTCTACAAGTTTTGGTTCTGCATTATTGACGAAAACCTCTGCAGGGTTAGTGGCGTATATTCCATGCAGTGGACCCCTTAATCCTCGGTATTAAGCACATGATGAGCGATGGGGGGCAACTGTAGGGTAGGGTTCAATCCTAATTTAGACAGCTTGAATAATAATTTTTGGGGCAAAATTATAATAACCCCCCTCAGGATTTATGGAAATCATAGATAATACCATCATAACTTCTGAAATCATACTCATTCCCAAGTCAAAAAAAAAAAAAAGAGTCGAAAATAAACTTTAATAGAACTTATTCTTTATGATAGCACTACGGTCCTGAAAAAAAAAATTAATACCTTTCCAAATGTTATTATTTTTAAAAGTAAAGTTCCAATTGATTTAGGTTATTCATGTTCGGTCATGAAATGTTGTGATCGATCGTAAATAACTTTAGTATGTCATAACTTCACCTTTGGAAGCGTAATTTAACCCTCAAATGTTGTAACTTGATTTTTATAAGTTGTAACTTCCATTATAAATCGTGACATTTTTAGATCGATCGTAATATTTTATAATCGATCACACTCTTTACAGTCATATACCTCTGTTGAATCGATTTGGGGTCGATGTGGACCGGTGGTGGTTTGGGAAGTGGATTGAATTAATTCGATGCTGGATTGGGAGGACTTATTAGGTGGTGTTAGTGTGGATTCAGCAGGTAGATGGTGCAGTTAAGAGTCTTTTTTCCTCACTCTCTTTTTTTTTCTTTCTCTCTGTCACTCTCGTGTACAATGTCAATGCTTGGTTGGTGCTGGCGTTGAAGTTGATTGATAAAAAAGAAAGGTCTTCAATTTTATCTTTTTGATGATTTAGATTTGTTATTTAAGTTGATTGAAATTCAAAGTCGGACTATCGTATTTGTAGATCACTAGGATAAAATAAAAGTCTACGGAAAACATAATGGGGTGTGAGTGTAATATTTTTATTGTGTCCATCCTAATATTTTTTATATAAGCTAACACAAAATGGCTGAGCATATTACAGACACATTTTAGACATGTTTGGATATATTTTGGACATATTGAAACTCATTTGTGAAAATTTTTTTTTAAAAAAAAATTATGAGCTTCTTTAAATATTAAATCAAAAGTAGGATTATTTTGTGATAAAATATATGATTATTTTATAAGTATTAAGAAATATATTCATAAAATAAAGTGAAAAAAAACATTTGAACTTGAAAAAATTCACATATAAACATTGTAATCTTATGAGACTACTCGCATAAAACAAAAAAGAAAGAAAGACTAAGAAAAAATTAAAGAGAAACAGAGAAATAACAATATGTAATTGGTGACTGTGCAAGCCTCACCCAAGTTATTTCCTGCCTTTATATGAAATCACAGGAGGCAATAAAAAGGTTGTCCATGATTCTTTTGCTAATTTTTAGCGTCTTTTTACTCATAATTCGTATGATTTTTTTTTTCTAAATTATGAACTTCAACCAATCTTTAATTTTTGATTCAATGTATTTTATTGTAGGAGGGCTTTTTGTGATTAATATATTTTTGCGTATAACCTATGATTTTTTTTTTTGTTTATGCTCTTAATTTAAACATGAAATTACTTATAATTGGCCTACAATTAATTTTTATTTTTCAACGATTGACTTCTATCTAAACAAATATAAATTTATTATTATATTTTTATTAATTAAATTTTGGAATTAACGTGTCCATGCTAAACTGAATTCCTGGCTCCGTCGCTGTGTGCAACCACTGTTTTTCTTTTTTCTTGTTAATATTGCTTTGGTTCTCATCACTCCTTGACTAATATACCATTTTGTCAAGTGAACCACAAACACAAAATATCCCTTTAGTGGAGCATATTTTGGGTACACAAGGGGATGAACCTAGATTAATTAAGTATTTCCCCCTCCTATCTTTCTCTCTCCTTTTATTGGTGAGGTGTCTTTCTCAAGGTTGTTCATTTATTCAACCACCAACAATAATTATGTAAAATACAAAACCCTAATATAATATGCCTCACTTATTCCATTAACCAATAATGTTGGTAACATGTTATTAAACATGTCTACCTCAATCAATTCTTTAGAGAGAAAAAAAAAGACTTATTCATTTTTAGATTTAGATTCTTCTAGTACGCTTTATTTAAGTTTTTTTTTTAATTATAAATCATCTACTACAAATTCAAATTTAATTTATCGTACAAAAACGAGTCTTATATCAATGTCTAATTAACTATTTAAGACATCGGATAATACTAGATAGACAAAAAAATTCAAAGATGTGATGCAAGTATGGTCGTAAATTTTGTCCCACTTTTACTCATTTTACTTATAATATTTGCATCAAGTCCTTTAATCTCCTTATTGTTAGTCAATCTATTTGATTCCAAGCCAAATTATATTAGAAGGAATATGTTTTCTATATTCCCTTGGTCGGTTATGTAGCATTTGGGTATTCCATTACTACGGATGCTTATTTGACCTAAAATGTGCGTTGACTTTATTTGATAATGCCTAATCAATTATTGTCAACAATTGATTGTAAGTATTAGTATTTGTTCATATTTTTTATCGATCCGATGAGTATGATTGATTAAGTTAATAAATAAAGTCAATATTTTAGCTTCTTTTTTATTTTATCGATATTATTTTAGCTCCAAATGTATTATTCGTATTTTCTTTAAAAGATAAAAAATGTATCATTCATATTTTTTATATCTCATAATTTTCATCATTCTTACTAAACAAAACATAACTGTCTTGGACAAGAAAATATTGAAAATCACGGTTACACTGTATCAATTAATAAGATACCAAGCAAAGAAAGAAATTTTATGCAATTAAATAATTATTTATTAATGTCATGTAGGAATACTTTAACTATTTAATTATGTCTTATTAAATGATTACACCGTCTCAATGAGCTGACATTTGTGTAAACGTGGCACCCCATCAAGGACAAGCCACCATTAAAAACAATGAAAGTTTGCTAACTGCTTCTTTTATTCACTACTTTTCTTTAGCCACACCTCTACCTAGTGTTTTTGTCCTCTCGGGAGATCTGCGGCAGTTGTTCTTCTCCTACCTTCCAAACTGCAACACCTTCTCGTACACCAGAAATTTAGATATTCGTGTACATGTCCCCCCTCTCCCCCAACCCCACCCAATTTGAAAGGTGCAGAAGCTGTCTGAAAAAATATCAGGTTTTGATTCGAGCAGTTTAAACCTCAAACCCGAGTCCTTAACCGCAAACCCACTGTGTGTGGTGCTTCTTTTCTTCTTTGGAAGATCTAAATTTGAGCTTGGTAACTAAATCCAACACATTCTGATCAGGTATGGTAAAATGCTTTTATTTTATAGTACTGGCTTTTGCTTTTGGTTACATTTTGAAATAATTTTTGTTTAGTTTCTGGAATGGATTTGTTTTCCATATGGCTTCGAAAAATATGCCGTATGATTCTTTAATATGAAGCTTGAAACAAGGTAATTGAATACAAAGGTGATGCAGATACAGATAGGGGATTCATCAAATTTTCGAAGAACAAGTTCTTTTCTTTTTTTGTGTTAACTGTACTAAAGTTCGTCAAACTATGGAGGGGTTCTTCTCATTTTGATCCTCAATTGTATCATTTTAATTTCTGAAATATAGAATATATTTTTATATGATTTCTCAAGTAGATAATGTCTAAATTGTTAACAATTTTTTATAATAAATTTGTAGCGTGATATTTAAATATGGATAAAAAAATAATTTGGATAGCTTTGACCAAATTTTTACCTCAATTTTGGTTAAAAAGCTACCCAAATTACACATTTTTTGTCGTGAGTTACCTAAATTTTGGTTAAAAGTTACCCAAATTATATATTTTTTTACTCATGTTTAAGTATCACTTAACAAATTTATGATAAAAAATTATTAATAATTTAGATATTATCTACATGTGCAATGTTTTAAAGACTAAAATGACACAAATCCCATATTTTTTGCACCTCGAGTAATTAACCCTTTTTTTTTTCGAAATAAAGTGAAAGGAATTTCTTTCTTTTTATAAAAAGCCAGAAGAGACTGAAGAGTGCTGGGTCTCTTTTTTTTTGGTTTTTTATTCCTCGGAAAAACTGAAAAAGATAACCGGGAGATGCCTCAGAATTTTACCTCACAGTCTTATCTTTAATATTCCTACTTTATCATTCTCATAACTTCCAATTTTCTATCTTCTTCAGCAAGGGGAAGGCAAGAGAGAAGATTGATTCATAAAAATAAAAAGCTCGGCTCAGGGCACAAGGACTTAGATATGTCACTGGGTATTCAATTCAGCAATCAATATGCTCCCATTCTGACTACACCCAATGAAGTAAGGCACCATATATGTGTTTTTTTTATTTTTTTTTCATTACAGAGTACCTATATATGCTCTGATTAAGCACGGATCGAGTATGAACCAGATTATCTTATATCCAAATTTGATTATTGGTCGCCTAGCGTTAGTTATTCCTTCTAACTCAAAAATTGATTACTGTAGTCCGAATAAATTTAGAATATATTCCTAAAAAATCAGACTCAACCGCTGAACCACCGACTATAAGGATTACCATATATGTATTTTCCAGTGAATGTTCAAGCTATTGTTAACCCATCTGACCAGTATACGTGGAAAACTTGAACTACATACGGATATATTTTATAAGATGATGATGATGATGACGACTTTTCTCATATTGATTTCTGCAGGATATTGATCACGGTGACTGGTCTGCAATTGCAGATTTTTGTATGCGTGCGGTTATTTATGTGGGAATGTTAGGTAGGTTACTTGTAAAAACATCAAGAATGCATCCAATTGTGTAATTACTTGTTGGTTATTACAAAAGAAATACGGAATTTTTTCGAGGCTAAAAAATTAAATTTTGTTTCGTGTCCACCGAAATGACCAAATTATTTTGGTTTTGGGGGTAACCCAAATAAATTAATTATAAAAAATCAAAAATTTACGTCTTTTGGAATGTTTGGGGATTGTTTCGGTGTATCGCACCACTGTATTGGATTAAAAATTTTAAGATTTTTCTCAATTTTCATTGTGATTTAAAAAAATTCCTGAAACATTTTTGTTCCTGAAGTAACTAAGATCGTGCACCAAAAGAAAATTTTAACCCTCGATTACAGTAAACTATTTGCACTTCATATAAAACCAAGCCCCATATCCATGAAAATTTTATGTAATTCAGAATAGAACGATCTCATAGTCCTTCACTTTCTTATGCTTTCAGTTGTGGTGGTGATGGTGGTTGCCCTGGTCCTGAAATTCCTAGGAAGTCTCCGTGGCGACACCACGATAGAACAAGTAATAGCAACAGAAACCGATCGTCTACTACCCAAGGAGGCAACTTCATTCTCATATGGAACAAGTGAAGAAGATGAAGAGTCAGGAAATTGTAATAACAGTTCATCAGAAAACTTGTACGATGGAAAAATATGCGTAATATGCTATGATGAACCAAGAGATTGCTTCTTCATTCCTTGTGGTCACTGTGCTACCTGCTATGTTTGTGCCCAGAGGTATACATTAACATGCTAAGAAAGATACATATTCTGAAACTCAAGCACGTGATTTACGAGTAATTGTTTCATGCAGGATTATGGATGGGGAAAGGAAGGCGTGCCCGGTATGCAGAAAATTCATTAACAAAGTGAGAAAATTGTTTATTGCATAGAATTTGACCTCTAAGACTTAATTTTTAAAGTTCTTCCTTATTACCCGTCGTATATTTTTGGGGAGATGCGATACTACAAGTGTTTTTGCCTCTCAAAATGGGGGACGATGATGTTAGGAGATAGAAAAAATCAAATTCTACAATTGTAGAGAATTGTGTTAGTGCTTGAACTCCCCCTATGGTGTATCTGTAAATTGCCTTAATTAGCATGGATTTTGATCTTTCAATTATATTTTAACTCAAATTTATTTAATAGTATGTCACTTACCATTAGTCCAGGAGGAACTCACTATTTGTGAGTGGACCCGTCACTCATATACGATGGGCAGTCTACCGTTTGATGATGTACAAAGCTAGAAGATTTGCCAAGAAAAAAAAAGGCTTAGAACGCTTCCTCCATTACTTCAACACTGTATGAAAAATCCTGGGCCTGGTAACACAGGGCCCAAATGTGTGCAAACATTAAAAGAACTTTTTACTTGGGCCGTCAGACCTTCGAGAATTTGGGCTCTCAAGTTTGGCATCTTTTAAGCCCGGTTCCTGGAACCACATATTTCTAATTTTAAACGAATAAAAGTGGGATTAAAAACACCATTTGTTCTTTATTTTTTTGTCCCTTTATTTGATCAATCCAATATTACTCTATAATTTATTTTTTTAAAACTCGTGATGGCCCCTTACTCTAGATATTGGGAATCTATTGAGGAAGAAAATCGAATTGTGGGTGATTATGTGTGTTTATTGAGGGTGATATCAAAGACACCAAAATCTTTCGATGACTTAATAGATACTTCCTCCGTTCTAAAATATCTTTCGTTTAAGATTTTTGTACAGGGATTAAGAAAGTTATTAAATAGTTATAATATGAGTAAAAAATAATTACACAAGACTAAAATACTCTTATTCAATACGTATCGGGAAAGAAAGTAATATGAAAGACACTTAGCCTCCACTTAATCTAATGAATTAAAAAGTTAAGGATAAATTTGGAAGAAAAAATATTAATTATGTTTTAGTTTCATTAAACGACAAATATTATGCAACAAAAAAATTGTGTAAAACGACCAATATTTAAGAACAGAAAAAATAATAAAAAATAAAATACCAAGATTGAGAGTACCGTCAAAAGTTAAAGTATGAACAATGAATAAAAGAGGGCAATTTGTACCAAATTCGAATTACTTAGCTTGTGAAACATCTATATAGTAATACTTTGTTTGAACTCCCAACACTTGTATGTCAATCGTGAGGTGAGTTTGTGTTGAATTTTAGTTGATTTGGGTCCAAAAGTACTACATATATATTCGATTGATGATGCTAGAGATATTTATCAGACTCTAAACCTATGAACAAAATAAAAACATATTTACAAGAATTTTGTACAATGTTTAAAGAATTCTCTCAAGTGTTATCTACAGCTTTGAGATTCAAAAACAATGATTGTGCCCAAAAATTTAAAGTTTCTAAATCTTACAAGGAACAATCAAATACATTTGTCAAAATACAAAAATCGAACTTGAAGAGTTCTAAAAGGGTTCCTAGAGCGTTGGCTTGTTCTTCTCAAACTTTTTCCATTGTTAGCCATGATTAAGAATCTCTGGTGAAATATCAGAGGCATAAGAAACATCAAATGAAACCAATTCTACTGGAGAATTCCTAAATCTTATTAAGATGGTGAAAAGGTTCAATAATATCAATCAACAATTTATTATACATCTTTACAAACTTGTATTTTCATTTAGATGTAGTGCTTTTGATCACCAAAATCATATTTTCTTCAACAAATGACTGTCACTTTGTCAGAATATCACACCACTTAGTATTCAAAATTTGATGAAAATTTTGATATTCACAAAATTATTTAAAATATAAAGGAAAATTTTCATCCACACCCCACTAGTTAAGTCTAAATTTAATGACACTTCATCCCAATTCTAAAACTTTATTGCACCCCGTTCTGATTTATACTTTCAAATCAATACACCCCCTTAATAATAATTTTTAACTCTATCAGTACAAAAATAACGGTTTGACTGTAAATTTTTTTAAAATGTCAAAACTACTCTTCCTTATGTAAATATACTAAAATGTCCTTAACTATTTCCCTACTACATATACCATACCCTTTGTTATTGCTAAAGGTCAAAAACGTTATAGTTTTGTTGGAAAACATAAGGATTAAAGTCAGTCATTTTTCTTAAACTCGTTCTCAACAGTGATTGATCATTACCTAAGTTGGTAAAAAAATATTTTTTTTTCTTGCAAATTTGTAATGTTTTTCATGCAAATTTTTTAAAAAAATTTCATGCAGTTTGTTTTTAATTTTTTTTCATGCAGATAGTTTTAATTTTTTTCATGCAAAATTTTTAAAATTTTTCATTTTTTTTTTTTTTTTATGCAGATATTTTTAATTTTTTTCTTGCAAAGGTTTTTAAATTTTTTCAAGCAATTTTTTTTTAATTTTGTTCATGCACATTTTTTTAATTTTTTTCTTTAATATTATTATGTCAATATGTTTGTGATGTATTATTGTAGATTGATGTCTTCTTCAACTGTTGGTGGAGACAGAGAAATAGGGGAGGAGGAGGTTGACATAAGCGTAATTTCTATCATTATATTATTTTAATGAATTTTTATCAATTGAAAACGTTCTATGATAACTTTGTTATAATATTAGTAATCATATTATCACTCATTTGGTTACATAATCGAGTTTTTATAATTTTTATAGTTTAAAATAATTTTTCTATAATAAAAATTACAATCAATAAAGTCTATGTCAACATCTCATTCATTTCTAACTTCTTTGCTATCATCTGTCCTCCACAAACGTAACCTGACAACTCTTCACATATCACCCTTTATATATAAATTTAAATAATATTTGATAAAATTTAATAATAATTGAATAAATTTAGTCTTAATTTGATAAATTTAAATATTAGTTTGGTGTTAATTTTATTTTATTCAATGTTGATTTGATAAAATTTAATATTAATTGAATAAATTTTAATTTTGCTTTAATGTAATTAAATGTTCATTTGGTGTTGAATTAAATAAAATTTAAATGTCAATTTATGTTGATTTGATGAGATTAAATGTTAATTTAGTTTAAATTAAATAAATGTCATTAATTTTATAAAATTAAATATTAATTGATGAAACTAAAGGTTAATATAATAAAATAAAAAAAAGTGCATTAAATTTCAGAATCGTAAGGAGTATTGTTAAAGATAAATCTATTTATAGGGGTGTTATTGAAGTTATGTCTATTTACAAAGTGTGGATAAAATTTATCATATAAAATATTTATAAGTATTCTATAAATTAACAATTGTCATTAACGCCGTAATCCGACAATTACTAACAAGGGATGACTGTGAAGTTTCAAAATCAGAAGATGATGTCATTGAATTTAAACATAATTTTAGGGGTATGGATAAATTTTTTCCAAATATAAAAAATCAACCTTTCCTGTCCTGGGTTGCTGGCCCCATCCAATTAACCATTTCTTTTCATTTCGTGGGTACATTATCGAAGAAGAATAAGATTATAAAAAATAAATATTAAACAAACAGACCACACCATTATCAATGCTCAAAGCCTAACCATGTAACTCAAGTCCTCTTCAATAGACTTTCTTTTTTTAAAAAAAAAAAATTTTGTTGTTGAATCATTCGTCATTAATGACTGATTGTTTTACTTATATACAATAAATCTCACTTAAATACGTGATAATTAATTTGTTAAAAAAAATAAAAAATATATATATTAATAGAAATCTCAATATTTTTTTTTTTTGCCAACATAATTCGAGATTAAGAGAATTCTCAATACCTAACCATACAGAACGTGCACGCAACAATGACCGGTCGAATTTTCTTATGAACAAGGATAGGAGAGCCACATGAGAGTAGCGTGTTCGATGAGTTCCATAAAAGTGGACCCCCACCACTAGAGAATGTACTACCCACGCCTTCCTTCTTGTCACGACTCTCACCAGCTTTATGGTGAAGTATCATTAATGTATCGCGGATTTGATTAAGGTGTTACAATTTTTTTTTTTTTTATCGGTTAAAAATGTTTAAACTAATTTACACATATTTTAATTAATTTTTTTTAATTTGATCAAAGACAGATCATCTACGTTAGAATTAAAGTATTCATGAAGGTCGATGGATAAATTTCTCATAGTTTAACCCCAAAGAATTGTTACGATTTAAACTCATGACTTCTGAATTTACAACTCCTTCTTATTACCACTTAAACTACTTTTTAAAGTTTTCATGATTTGTTTACGGTATCTAGATATCGCACTCAAAATTATAATTAATTAATTAAAATGTAATTAAATTTTTTTGAGTTAAATTATATTTTAATAAAGTTAAATTGTAATAAAAAAAATTTATATAATCGAATCAAAAATATTGAGATCTGTCCCGAATATTCTCATTTTACTGTAGTTGCATTCTTGCTTTGTTTACTGTAAATTGATTACGTTATTGAGAGAGCTATCATATGAAAATTCGCAATTAAATAGTGTACGATTATGAGATTTTTGGGTTAAGCTACACTCCAATAAAGTAAAATTGCAGTAAAGAAAAAGTTATGATCGATCTAAAATTGATTGGATCGTTCCTAAATAAAATCGTATCAAAATTATGTACATGGAATCTTGAAACTAACGTAATTAGCTAAAGTTTATTGTTTCATTCGGCTATTTAGGGCAGGCCTTGGATATGAGGAATAATTGATCGGGAGCATGTCACTTAGCTCTAGATAGGGGTTCAAATCTAGGAGTCTAATTTGGACGGGTCAACCTATAATTCAAACTCAATCCGAAAAAACAAAGATTGTATTGAAATTTTAAATACTTGAGTTGGGTCTAGGTTGAAAAATATCAACCCGAATTAAATTTGGACAATATTTAGGTTAAGATGTCGAATTATCGAGTTCAACCCGAATATATAAACCGGACTCAACATGAATATTATAGTTAAACATCGAGTCCATTGTGGTTTTTTATGTTAATTTGGCTATTATGTCTTTATGTTAAGAAAATATAATTTAGTTTTTGTCCACTATGCTTTCTTTATGGTTTAAATATTTTGGTCTTCATGTTAAACATTTGATTGAAATTGTGGTTATTACTTCAAGCAAATATTATATAGCATTTATTAGATTTAAAACAACAAGCTGATTTAAGACCTGT